GATCTCTTAGTTTTACAAAATTTTGTATTTCTTGAATATTTCATGAAAAAAGTTTGTATTAGGATTTTGGATTCAATGAGGGAATGATTATTTAACAAAATGTATAAAATGCAATGTTTTGTGTTTTTATGGCAACCTTTGTTCAAATATCAAATAAAGACTCAATATATATATTATATGATTGTAAATGAGTGGCACTTAATATAACATTATAACCCCTTCCGGGTTCTTATCGGTTGTGGTCCGCGGCTCTCGACTCTTCACCGGACGGTTCGCTAAATAGACTAAAACTATGTTTAAAACATATAATACTAGAGCTATGATGACAAAGAAGTAGCTGAAGCCGAGCCACGCTCTGCCCTCTGAGTTCCAGCCGTCGTTCTGCTCGTCGGGAGTCAACACATTCCTCCGAAGGCTGTTCTTGTACTGCAATAACCAACTGATTCCTCCGCACAGACAGAACAGCGCTAAACAACAAAATCAAGTTATTTACTGTTTATTCGGTGTACCGTTCCTTAGAGAGCACAGGCTATGCTCTTAAGCCTCATCATAAGGAATGACTCATTTGTTTAACCAAAAGATTTTAGGCTTTCATTAGAGAAGTTATTTCAGAATTACAGATTAAGTTATCTATGATTAGAACTCGTGGGTTGACCTCAAATGAGAGCCCAACACAATTGAGTTCATTATCACTAATTATCAGATAATCTAATCTTTAAATAAAGTGTCATTTCTTATTAAGTTATCAATTATCAGTCAATCATTTGTATGAAATTATATCAAAAACTACTCGTTTTTAGAACATTAAGAAATATAATGTGAATTTGTACTTATTATAACTAATGTGAATAAGATTTTTATGAAAATTAATTTTATTTAAATTGATTCAAAAATATCGAGTGAATAACCTTTCTGCTGGTTTACTGTTTAGAGAAAAGGGTGGGTTTGGGTCAGCAGTCTATCTGATGGCTCACTCATTGCCTGAATATGAGTTTCAAAGAGATATTTAGAAACATTTAATGTAAATTAAATTGTATAAAATGTATAATTTGTTTGAAAACATATTATTTAGTGGTTTATCCACTATTTCATTGCGCGCTTACTCTGGAAGAATGAAATTTCAATTCAATTATTAAATAGTTTTGTTTGAATTTTTATTACATAATATGTTTTCCTAACATAAGACAGTAATTGTGGTAATAGTGAGCACTTGTTTTACTTCTTTATCTTGATTTCAATGATTTATTTAGCGAAACAACACTTTGAGCTTCTGGTCTATACTTGTAGTGAAATATTTGCTTTTAAATTCAAAGTGAAGTTTAAATGTTTTTCTATAAAACTAAATAAAATTAATTGCTTTGAAAATTCTTATCGAATACTAAATGAATTTTATTTAAGTATTTCGTGAGAAAAATCTAATCAAATGCACATAAAATGCTAAAATATGTTAGTATTAGAGTTGAATGAAAAGTGTTTAACGAATTTATACAAAAATAGTCCGTTAATGAACATTAAAACCTGTTTTATGTTAATTTTGGGCAAAAAGTGCTAAAATTGAACTTTTAGTATAATTTAAGTATTTTTAAAAACAATGATATCTACAAATAGATCTCATTTATTACTAGAATAGAAAATATAATTATAATTACGATTTTCAGTAAGACTTGACTTAACTCGTGATAATTATTCACAAAATGTTGACAATTGAATAACTTATGAATGATTGCGAAATATATTGAGTATTGAATCGATGAGTGAATTACATGACATGACATTACCTGCTAATCCGTTCCACAAGAATAATCCCTGAATACCAGTAATCACTTCAATAGGAGTCATAACTGTGTTTATGATGGAGAAGACAGAGCTAACGATCCCGAAGACCATAGCGATGGCGACACATAGGACTGTGAATAACCACAACCCAAATGCCATAAAATTGGGATTTTTGGACAACTCTTGTTTCACTAGATTATAATGAAAACAACAATACGTTTAATGAAATGATCGCTAAATAATTGTCTCAAATCTAGACTTCTTTCTCACTATTTATTCGCTTAAAAGCCGATAATTTTCCGTTCAATTCATTGAATATAAAAAGATTTATTTATTTTGCTATTATGACAAGAATTAACGGTATTTTGTGATCAAAATGCATATCGAGTTTAGTTTTTCCATATGAAGTGCTTATAAGTGTTACAAA